CCTACGTGTCATCAGGTTACCGCAGGAACCCCCGTGTCGACACTCTTGACCTTTTGTTGTCAGTGGATTCTGTGGCGTCCTGCCATCCTACCTGTGCCTCCTGCCATCCTATCTGACACACACACACACACACACACACATACACATACATCCTTGACCATCGTCGGGTCGAGACCTATTCAGGCGCTGCTCCTGCTGAGCAGCTGCCTCCCTTGGTCAATGTTCAGCCCATTCCCCAAGTCCCTCTCCCCGACCCATCCTCACCACCGGGATATCTACATAATCAAAAGTGACAATTTCGTTTCGGAAAGAAGTGGAACCAGTGTTGAACAGTGATGAACAGTGTTTAAGCCAATCAATTCAGCACTAGACAGTACCAGTGAAAGCCGTGACCCACCAGTGACATAAGCACCCCTGGGAACTGACCGCCATCTTCTGACCAGGAGGTGCTAATCTGTCCACCATGGGAACAATAGGGGGTCGGCTTCTCACCTGAGTACGAGATAACACAACACCACCCTGCAGGGCGAGGTACTGTGACACCACCCCACACCACCTGGTGTCTCCATGACCACGTGAGGTCCTTCATATCAACACCCGAGGACGAGTTACTGCACCACGTGAACACCACACCACCTGGTGTCTCCATGACCACCCCAGGCCCGGGCCATCAACTGTAAACTATAATAATTTGTATGTTCAATCATTGTACCTTCTTCTTTCAGTAATAAAGGCTTATTTTAAACGACCCACCCACCTCATGTCTTTGTATGTAAGAAGTCATTTTTGTCCAGTATATATATTCAGCCTTCGGGCTGTAGAACTTTTTTAATAAACCATTAATTATTATTATTATTATTATTATTATTATTATTATTATTATATTTTTATTATTATTATATTATTATTATTATTATTATTATTATTATTATTATTATTATTATTATTATTATTATTCACACACCACCCCCGGGAATCTACGCCAGGCGAAAATCCGACAGAAAATGCTGTTGTGACGTAGTTACTTGGTGTTTGTATATAGTTGATGGTCCACGTGGTGAGGGAGGAAAGGAGAGAAAATGAAGGAAATATTGAGGGAAGGAAGGAGGAAGAAAAGGGGGGTAAGAGAAATGGAGAGAGCGAGAACCTTCCTTAGGCTTTAGTAAGCCCCTTTATAATATTTATACTGTATATACTTGTCACACTTGCCAGATGCTTCTGGTGTCATCGTACAGGGGTACCTAGTGACAGCACTAGGATCCCACTTCCTCTATCAAGGAATAAACAATTGAAATTGAAAAAAAAAATGAATTGAGAGCAAGAGTCACTGTTGGTGGGGAGAGACGGCGAGGCGAACCACAAGTTGTTAGGGTCACAGGGTACTACTACTCGTCGTTAGCTGAGGTCCTCGCTGTTTGTGGTATATAAGTACACTACTATGGTATACAAGTACACTACTATGGTATATAAGTACACTACTATGGTATACAAGTACACTACTATGGTATATAAGTACACTACTATGGTATATAAGTGCCAGATATAAGTACAAACACTATACATATACTGTAGACAGTAGACGATCTGACCGACAGCCCTTGTAAGGCATTTAAGAACCAAGGAGTTAATATTGTTATTATTATCCACTCTGTATCTATGTTTCTCTGGCTAAATAAACTGTTTCAATTAAATTAAATTCAAGAACCAAGGAGTGAGTGAGTGAGTCCCCCTCGGTGGCGACACACAGGCAGAGTTATGCCGGAGTTATCTCCTCTACTGGCGACTCCCCGCCCCTCCCTCATGTCCATCCGGTGTTCAGTCCCCGGGAGAAAGGGAGGGAGGAGAGAGCGGGGCAAGGGAGGGAGGAGAGAGCGGGGCAAGGGAGGGAGAAGGCAGGGAGCAAGGAAGGGAGGGAGGAGAGCAGGGAGCAAGGGAGGAGGGAGGGAGAGCAGGACAAGGGAGGAGGAGGGGGAGGGGAGGAGGAGGGAGGAGGAGGAGGCAGGGGCAGGGCAAGGGAGGGAGGGAGGGAGGAGAGAGCGGGGCAAGCGAGGGAGGGAGGAGAGAGAGAGTGTGTGTGTGTGTAAGATAATAATTAAAGGCTTATTGAAAAAGTTCTGCCGCCCGAAGGCTGAAAATATATATTGAACAAAAATGACTTCTTACAATCTTACATACTAAGACATGGGGTGGGTGGGTCGTGTAACAAAAGCCTTCATTATTGACCTCACGTGGTCATGGAGACACCAGGTAGTGTGGTGTTCACGTGGTGCAGTAACTCGAGTGTGTGTTTACATCCCAAAACCTTCATAATTATGATGTGTGGGTGTACGATGCTGTCTCTTATACACTTACTCCACCCCCCCTACTCCCTCCACCACCCCTCCTTCCCCTCCACCCCTCCACCACCTCCTCCACCCCTCCTCCTCCACCACCCCTCCTCCCCCACCCTCCACCACCCTCCACCCTCCACCACCCCTCCCACTCCCTCCACCACCCCTCCTCCACCACTCCCTACTCCCTCCACCACTCCCTCCACCACCCTCCCCTCCCACTCCCTCCTCCACCCCTCCCTCTCTCCCTCCACCACTCCCTACTCCCTCCACCACCCCTCCCACTCCCTCCACCACCCCTCCTACTCCCTCCCTCCCTCCACCACCCCTCCTACTCCTCCACCACCCCTCCCCCTCCACCATCCCTCCCCTCCACCATCCCTCCTACTCTCCACCATCCCTCCCTCCTCCTCTCCACCACCCTCCTACTCCCTCCACCACCCCTCCCACTCCCTCCCTCCCACCCCTCCACTCCCTCCTACTCCCTCCACCATCCTCCTACCCTCCCCCACCCCCTCCAACACTCGCCTCCAACACTCCCCGTGACACCATCAGTCACTGTGGTCAAGGTGAGAGGTAGGCCAGGTGGCACAAGACCTGATTCACTCGAGGAGATCAAGTCTTTCTTCTCTCCTAACTCTCTCTCTCTCTCTCCCCTGAATGGACCAATTCCCTCCCTTTAACATAATGCCTTCGACCCTCCCTCCCTGTTCTTTCTTTCTATGAAATGTTCCTCCTCCCCCCTGTGAGAACCCCCGTGAGAACCCACCCCCGTGAGAGCCTCCCTCCCCCTTCCCACTCCAGGATATATCGGGGGTAATATTTTTTTGACGTGCACCTTTTTCCTGCCTGTAGTGGCTGGCTGGCTGGCTGGCTAAGATACCTCCAACCTAACCTCATCACAACCCGGATAGTGTGTGTACCTGTGTGTGCGTGTTTGTGTATGTATGTATGTATGTATGTATGTATGTATGTATGTATGTATGTATGTGTGTATGTCGCCGTAGTTATGCCTGAGTTAGAACACTACATTAACCACACCTGTTATTATTACCTGTTATATCACCGCAGGTAATTACAGTACAGCATCGGTTACATATGAGGAAGACACTCGCTGTAATGTCTGACGCAGAGTTACAGTGTATCTTAATGCTGTAATGTTTCCCTCATAAAATACAGGTTTTGTGTAGTTTTTCTGTATTTTTTTTATTATTTTGCATTTTAGTTTTTGTTTGGTGTTATTTTATTATATACACCTATTGTTGCCCTAATAATGTTTAAAGATTAGTAGGGTCATTACCTAATACCTGACCATTGTGGACCTGGTCTCACCCTCCTCTGTATATATACACCTTGGTTTGTATTTCTCTCTCTAGTCTGTACTCACCCCTGAAGATGTGAATTACACGAAAGCGCTTGGGAACTTGGTGTTTTCTTCTTTCCTTGTGGTTATCAGCATATGTATATATACCTGGTATACGTGACCTGTTTATATACCTGAGTAAATATACCTTTCTGTGCTAATTGGGATTTTTTTTATTGATTCGAGTTTTTTTTATAATTACTAACGTTTTTTCTTTTCGTTCATTGTATTAAGTTTTAAATGTTATTTCTCCCAATTACGTTCATATTCTTGTAAATTAAACTTCCCGCTAACTTTCAGACATTTTCTGCTAACTTTCAGACCTTTTCTGCTAACTTTCAGACCTTTTCCGCTAACTTTCAGACCTTTTCCGCTAACTTTGAATCTTTCTCCGCTAATTATAAACTCGCTAATTTACTACTATAAATATCGCTCTTACTCGTGTTTTTTTTTCCACTACTTAATTATAATTTTTTTTACCATTTATCTTAACAATATATACCTGCAATTTTTGGCTGTGATTTTTAAGTAATTTTATGTATTCAATTAATTGTTATATTATTACTGGGACATAAACACTGGTGGCGTTTATTAAGTGTTAAAGCAACAACAGGTGGAGGTGTTTGGGGCAGTTTTAAAGTATATCTGGACCATTGAACTATGTCTGTCTTTGTGCTGGTATGTATGTGTGTGTGTTTATGTATGTATGTAATAATAATAAACGGTTTATTAATAGAGTTGCAGCCGGTGTCATTCTACACAAACACAGACGTAAAGATATACTAATACAGACAGACAGTTACCTACCCGTCTGTCTCTCTGTCTGTACCTGTCTAGACACACACACACACACGCCTGAAGGAATTTTACGGCTCTTGAGATAATTTCCCAGAGGAATGGTGGTGATGGTGGTAGAGGTAGTGGTGGTGATGGTGGTAGTAGTGGTGATGGTGGTGGTGGTAGTGTTGTGAGTGTAAGGCCGATGTACCTGGAGGTTTCCAAATCACACACACACACCGATACTTTTTCTCTGGCAACACTGATTGCCACGAAAGTTATTTTCTTGTTGTTACGCCTATTGTCTTCGTTATTTTGGTCTGGCAACACTGATTAGAACCACCTCAACCAGGGCTGCGTGTCTGTCTGGTTCACATAATATTTAAGCTATTTACTGAAGGTCGAGTTATTCAGATACAAAATAATACTTTAGTTTAGTCTTATTTTTACTGTTAATATTATACACAAGTAATAATTTAAAGTATTTTGTTTTTAATTTGAAAGTACAATTGTTTTTGTTTTCGTTGCAGGTGAGTTGAGGTGACGTCACGCGAGGTCAGCAGCAGTACGTGACGCCACACAACAGCTGATCAAGGTAAACATTAACACGTGAGGTCACACACAACAGCTGATCAAGGTAAACATTAACACGTGAGGTCACACAACAGCTGATTAAGATGGTAAACAAACACTGATAGCATTGTATTACGTTAAAATTATAAATCAGGTGTGTGTGTGTGTGTGTGTGTGTGTGTGTGTGTGTGTAATACTGTATACACTGATAACCATTCCATGTGTGGTAGCTCAGTACACGTCACAACAGTTAACAGTTAGTGTAGTGAGGCAAGGTGTTGACTGTGTGGAGAGACCAGGTTAAATGAACTTCGGCTTCACCAGTCCGTGTTAACTGGGAGACTAAAATGGCTTAGCTTGTAGGTTAGGTTAGGTTTAGATTAGGTTGTGTTAAATTTCAGTTAGCTTAGGTTAAGTTAGGTTGTACGTGAATGGCCCTCGGTTCCCTGACATCTTGTACGTTGTCACGGACCAGTGGAGGGACGCGGAGGAAGGGGAGAGAGAGAGAGAGAGAGAGAGAGAGAGTATGTACCGAGTTGCCGCATTCCTCCCCCACCCGTCACGCCCTAATCGGTCCTCCTAACCACTTTGCTTCCTCTTCCCTTCCTTCAATATACTCCTACCTTCGCCCTCCCTCACCCCTACCCCTCGCCCTCCTCCACCCTACCCCTCGCCCGCCCTCCTCACCTTACCCCTCGCCCTCCTCACCCTACCCCTCGCCCTCCTCCCCACCCCTCAGCCAATAGCAACCAGTCCCACCAGTCTGGAGGATGACTCGGCCAACCACCGCGCGCCTCCTCGTATGGTCATACACCGTGACCTTCCTCTCAAACCGGTACCATATGTTGGCTGGGGTGTACTGGGGCGGTGTGCGTGCGTCCATCCACCCAGCTTAACGGTACTACCCTCTCTATTGTTACCACTTTCAGTATCTCGGCTCCCACCTGTCCACCACCGCGGACATCGATGAAGAGATTCAACATCGGATCAGATGTGCATCTTGAGCCTTCGGCAGACTCCGTACCCAGCTGTAGAGAACTGAAATTATCTACAAAGTTACAGGTATATCGAGCAGTGGTCCTCCCCACCCTGCTGTATAGTAGCAAGTCATGGGCCACATACAGGAGTCACCTCAAGGCACTTGAAAACTTTCACCAACGTAGTCTACGTTCCATCTTCCGAGTTCGCTGGGAAGGCACGAGAACAAATGCCAGTATTCTTGCTGACACCAACTGTAGAAGCATCGAGGCTACCATTATCCATGAACAACTACGCTGGACTGGCTATGTTACCCACATGGACGACAGTAGACTGCGAAAGCAGCTACTTTACAGTCACCTAACGAATAGTAGACGTAACGCTGGCGGGCAACTGAAAAGGTATAAGGAAAGTCTTAAGACAACCTGAACAGTGCCAAATCGACCCCCTTACCTGGGAGACGATTACTCCACACCGTAACGCTTGGAGGAGCACCACACAAGGTGACAATACTTTCGAGTTAGCCCGACTGCATACCGAGGCAGATAAGCACAAACACCGGAAAGACGCTGCCGCCGCCCCTCCCGCACTAGAAGTAGCCCTCCACACATGCAACATCTGTGGACGACCCTGCCGGTCCTGTATGGGCCTCTCGAGTCACCTCAGAACTAACCAACGAAGGTGACATCCCTAATAACTCTTATCATAGTTGGATGATCGTTATACTCGATTCCGGGTGACAGCAAAGTAGTAATAGTAACGAGAATGACAAGATAAGGGCATACGGGGAGAGAATTCAGTACGTTGATCAAGGCAGCTTCACTCCTCTAGTGTTCACAACCTCTGGTGGGATGGGACCAAGTGCAAGATGTGTCTACGCCAGACTCGCGGAGGTGTTATCTGAACGGAAGCAGCAGCCCAGACGTTATGTTACAGCCTGGATGAGATGTCGACTGTCCTCTCTCCTTAGGTCGGCTTTGCTCTGTCTTAGGGGAACGAGAGCATCGGCCCCAAAGCCGACAACAGTTGCAGATATTGACTATGAGGCTACAGTCACTGAATGCCGCATAGATCTGTGGCTCAACTAACTCAACACAGCTAGGATAGCTACTTATGTACTAAGATATTTAATATTAAGGTAATAAAATGGTGGCGAATAAAATGAGTATTGTGTGTACTGGGATGTGTTGACATTATGGGTGTTGTAAATAGATGCCTTCACCTCAACACTCTCCTTCTCTCTCCCTCCTCCGTTCCTCTCCCCTACTCTATATTTATCTTTCCTCTCTCCCTCCTCACCCTCCCTCCTCCCCTCACCCCTCCCCTCCCCCTCCCCCCCTCCCTCCCCCTCCCCTCCTCCCCTCCCTCCCTCCCCTCCCCTCATCCCCCTCCCCCCTCCTCTCTCCTCCTCCCCCTCCCCTCCCCTCACCCTCCCCTCTCATCCCTCCCTCCTCCCTCTCACCCCTCTCCTCTCCCTCCACCCTCTCCTCCTCCCCCTCCACCTCCTCCTCCCCTCACCCCCTCCCCTCCCCTCCCCTCCCCTCCCCCTCCCCTCCCTCCTCCCCTCCCCTCCCCTCCCCTCCTCCCCTCCCTTCCCCTCCCCTCCCCTCCTCCTCCCCTCCCCTCCTCCCCCTCCCCCTCCCCTCATCCCCTCCCCTCCCCTCCATCCCCCTCCCCTCCCCTCCCTCCCCTCCCCTCTCCCCTCCTCCTCTCCTCCTTTAAGTGCCTAGCTGCTCACAATAGTCGTGTCACTCATCCGTGTCGCTCCAAGTTGGTTCTTCGGAGTTTGTTGCCTCTTCCTACTCCTTCTTCTCCTCCTATTCTCCTTCCTATCCATCCTTACCCCCTTTCCTACTTATCATCCTCATCATTTCCCTCTTCCTCCCCCTTATCCTCCTCCTCTTCCTCCTCCTTATCCTCCCCCTTATCCTCCCCCCTTATCCTCCTCGTCCTTGTCTTCCTCCTCCTAGACTGAGAAAGGCGTCACTTGACCCCTTGTAAAACTCTCCAGGTTAAGTTGTTTAGCTCTCAGGTATTTTTTCCCTTCATTTTTTCCCCACTTTTGTAGAGTCTTGTTGGTCCTGTAGAGTAGCACGTGGTGGTCTTGGGGAACGTTGCTGTGGTCTTGGGGAACGTTGTGTGGTCTTGGGAACGTTGTGTGGTCTTGGGGACGTTGTGTGGTCTTGGAACGTTGTGTGGTCTTGGGGAACGTTGTTGTGGTCTTGGGGAACGTGTTGTGGTCTTGGGGAACGTTGTATGGTCTTGGGAAAGTTATGTGAGTCTTGGTTGTACTGAGTTAGTTTAAACCATTGTGTGTTTACCTGCACTGTGTACATTGTGTATTTTCAATGTATGTACAGTACAGTACGTAACGAACCGAGATGAAGTTGTGTGTTTGTTTTACTGAATATATATATCTATCCTCTATCTATCTATCTATCTATCTATCTGTAAAAGAAATAAGTTTATTGTTATTATGATTGTGTGGGCGTCAGTGTAGCGGTGTCTGGCGACTGTCTCCTTGCACTCGTATCATCCAATTATTATCGTTTTGAATTTTCACACTTTTAAAGAAATTTCACTCATAGACTAGTTGAGGATATGAATTGTGATTTTTATTTTGTTGTAATAGACATGAAAGATGTGTAGATAGCTTTATATAGTGTAATAAATAATTAAATTGCATACTTGAATGTAACGGTAATTACCAGCGGGTGGGCGGCCCGAGCGTAAAACGTAAACATTGCAGCTAGTCAGGTCAGGTCGGGTCGGGTCAGATGGGTTCAGGTCGGGTCAGATGGGTCGGGTCGGGTCGGGTCAGATCAGGTCAGGTCGGGTTATATTAGGTTAGTAAGCAATTTTGTCCTGATAGAATAGTTCAGACAGGTCCCTTGGCACTGTGAATGCCTCCCTGTCATGGTTTAGTGCCAAGCAAAGCAGAGGTTCATAAATAGAAGGAAATCAGGTGTTGAGGCGTCACGAGTGAGAGAGATAGAGACCAGGAAATGTTGGGATGTTTTAAAGGCCAAATGATTTAGTGAAACAATTATATTATTCATGATGTCACGGCCTACTTTTTTGGATAATCTAAATAGGCATAGTAGGTTAATTTGTCTCGGGTTAGTGTCCACACACACCTCACACACGCACACAAAGCATCTGTCTGCCACACGGACCAACATACATACTAGTACACAAAGAAATATATTCCTCCCGATAGTAAAAATTCACCAAAGTTCATAACACGTCGACGTTGATCCCAGAGTCTTACGTTAAGCTGCTTAATCCCATCTACCTCCCGGCCGTCACTCGATTACCTGTGTGGGATGGTGTTTGGTGCCGATTCCCTCCTGGTGTTGTGGAACGGGAGGTGGAATGGGGGAAATTTGGCATGGAAACAGAGGGGGGGCAGAAACCAGAGGGGGAGGGACAGAGCCACAGAGGGGGGGGGGGAGATGTGATAAGTGGTCCTGGTCGACCTCTTCCTCCTCCAGTGTATATAAACTGTGCTTGGAGGTGTGTTTGTGTGTGAGGTTGTCTGGTGGGAGACTGGTTGGCTGACACACACACACACACACACCTCCTCTCTCTCTCTCTCTCTCTCTCTCTCTCTCTCTCTCTCTCTCATCTTAGACGTTATTAGCTTATGTCCTGTTCATTGGTGTTTACATCAAGCCCATCCCTCACCTTTATGCTCCTCCCCCCCTCACACCTGGCCCATTACCCAGAAACCCTAGACTAATACAACACCAAATTGGATTCTGTAAATAAGTTCATGTGTTCAGTTTTGACCCAAGTAGATGTGAGAACGTGTTTTTTTCGTGCTCTCTCTCTCTCTCTCTCTCTCTCTCTCTCTCTCTCTCTCTCTCTCTCTCTCTCTCTCTCTCTCTCTCTCTCTCTCTCTCTGTCCTCCACAGGTGTGGGTGAAAGGGAACACCTGTACTAACACTCACCCTTCTGGGAGGGTATTGAGCCCTTCCCTTACCTGGTACCTGTTTGGTCTGTATTACCCCAGGTGGTTAGGTGAGGCCAAGGGGGGTGTGG